CGAACCCGCGTCTCCTGCATCGGCAGGCGGACTCTCAAGCACTGCGCCACCAGGGAAGCCCTATTATGAGATTTTACATATTGGTAGATAGTATTTAAAATCTAGTGTTGCCCAATAAATGAGCAATTATACACATTTGGTGGAAGTTATTACTAGGTATATAACATATTCTGAGCACTATTTGGAAGCATTGATGAGTATTTATAGACAAAAGTTATTTCTTCTTTGAGGATTTCATCAAAGAAAAATGATTCCAGGTAGTATACAACTATACATGTATTATAATGCTCACTGTAGTGCTGTCTGCTAGAGTAACATTTTGTTGGTAAACCAAATTTCCATTAATAAATGGGTAGTTGAATAAGCTAACTAATGTGTAGCTATGCTCTGAAAAGCAGCAAATTAAAAATAATAATTCATCGAACTGAGAATATGTCCATTACTTGTTACGAAGTGAAAAAAGGAAAACAATTTTTTTTTTTTTTTTTTGCGGTATGTGGGCCTCTCACTGTTGTGGCCTCTCCTGTTGCAGAGCACAGACTCCGACGCGCAGGCTCAGCGGCCATGGCTCATGGGCCTAGCCGCTCCAAGGCATGTGGGATCTTCCCGGACCGGGGCACGAACCCGTGTCCCCTGCATCGGCAGGCGGACTCTCAACCACTGCGCCACCAGGGAAGCCCAGGAAAACAATTTTTAATCCAAATAACTGTGTAATGATTCTTTGCTGGTGAAAAGAAAATAAAAACTTCATTTGTATTTCTGTGTATGTAAGTGGAATGTGGTATGTACCTTTTTCTTAGTCTGCTTGAGCTGCCATAACAAAACACCATATACTGAATGGCTTAAATAGCAGAAATTTATTTTCTCACAATTCTGAAGGTTGGAAGACCGAGATCAGTGTATCAGCATAGTGGGCTTCTAGTGAGAGGTCTCTTCCTGGCTTTCAGACAGCTTCCTTCTTGCTACATCTTCACATAGCCTTTCCTTTGATTGTGTGTATGACAATAGAGGGTGATCTCTCTGGTGTCTCTTCTTTAACGGACACTAATACTGTCAGATCAGAGCCCCACTTTATGACCTCATTTAACCTTAATTCCTTCCTTAGAGACCCCCATCTTCAGATGATACAGCCACGCTGGGGGATAGGGCTTCAACATATGAATTCTGAGGGGGCAGAAATATTCAGTTCATTATAATCTCTACTGGAATAGAAGAAAGACTGTATTTCATTTTATTTTCTATATTAAAAGAACATGATAGAATTATATATGATTCTTACCATCTGCCTACTTTTTCCTCAAGGAAATATCTAAATAACTCGTTAAAATTTCTTTCAATAACATTTATGCAGTTTGTATTTGTAAAATACAGTATTTGTATTTGTAAAATGCTGTATTAGTGTAAAAAATGAACATATTCTGCATTTTCTTAAAATTACTTTAGAGATACCTGAAATATTACTTTATATGAGGACTTTTTAACTCTTGTACACTCTTTTTTATCTCACTAATATTAAAGTTGAAAAATCACAAACAAAATATAACTTGTCTCAAACCAAAATGTCCCGATTGAGCAATCCAAAGTAGCAAAATGTAACCAACAAGACAATTATTATGATTTCCTTTATATTAACACAACAATTTTATTTTCATACTTCATGTTTTATTTAATGTATGTTCATTCTATTCGTGATTATAGCTCAGTATCAATATGATTATGTATCCAGGTAGGAAATTTTTATGTGATATTCATTATGTACCTAGTCTATAAATTAAAGCATATATTATAATTTTTCCTATTATATCATGGATTATAAAATATTTAAAAAATCATCTTTTTAAGATTATTGTGATTTTTTTGGTAAGGAGAGATAAACAAGTGACAAGGAAGACTGGCAATAGTTTGCATGAAAAAAATGTGCAAGTAAATTAATGTAGTGTCATCTGCCTTTGTGAAGATAAAATTTTTTTTAAGTTTATAATAACTTACCTGCCCAGGTTTTGCATTTTCACAGACAAATGTTTCATAGTACATGGCAAATTCTGGAGCATGGTCATTTATATCCAGAATTCTGATGAAAACAGGAATGCGGCTACTTTGTTTTGAGTTATCTGCAATGAGAACATGTGTAAGATTTCAGTCTCATTTACAGAGTAGTAGTGATATTGTTTGCCCCGTTTGTAACTTAGCAACAGATCATTTCTGGGGTGTTCACTTCTTGATTGGATTGCTGATGGATACCTCAGCTTTCTTACACGGTTCAGATGAAGAGCATGATAGAAAGAGGAGAATATAATTGAGAGTGAATATTATTTGTAAGAGATAATTTTCTTAGACTGATTAATTATTTTTATGAGGTTAGATTATATTTTTATCCTACAGTGAGATGTAAAAGAAAATCAAGTTTAAAATGAAGTGAATATTTGATAATCATTAAAATAATTTAAAAATCCAACACACTCTAAATCATTTCTCTCAGCTCTTGCTGATAGAATTAATTCAGCAAGAGTGGAAATTCATTCCACTCAAGTAAAAGAGTCTACTTAATGCTATTATTTTACTATTTTGGTGAAAAATAATGTGTTCAGGTGGATGTATTTCAAACTTACTTATCTCTGTGGCTGTAATGGTGATGTTATGCCAAGGGGTTGACTCCCGGTCAAGAGGCTTCAGAGTGAAAATAGAACCATTTTCTGAGTGAATACTGAAAATCCGGTCCATATCCGAATGCCGATCAACAGAGTATCTAGCAGAAAAGAGACTCATAACTCCAGGCATTGTTTTAAAATTATTAATTCATCTACCATTTCTTAAAGTTATAGGCAGTTCACATGATGGTCTGATAAATATGACAAGTAAAATACCGATAATTTTCTTGAATTTTTATTTAATATAATTGTCATTTAGATAATTGATGTAGTTGGCTGTTTTCATTATTACTATTCTATGATATGTGTACTTCAGAGTCCTTAGTTATACTCATGAATCCTTGTGGCAGCTTTTAAGTGAGTTTTTAATCGTCACTTGATTAGTTTATCCTATCATAGACCTATTGCAGTGCTTGAGACATATTAAAGTCATATTAAAGTTGATAGAGTCAATTGCATTGGACAAATTGAAATTATGTTGAAAATAACACATAAAAACATGTGTCCACAGAGTCCTTATAAGTGAATATGCAGAGGCTGTTGTAAAATACATGGCTCTTGAATGGTTCTCTATTCAAAGATCATTTCAGCTGAATCAAAGGTCTTCCTCCAATCTCTCCCTTTAGCCTTTTCCAAATAAAAACTGAAATGACAAAGAACCACAGATGTACTAGCTACCATTTTTGCATGTTTGAGATTTCTGCTGCTGAGTGTTTAATTGAGCCATGTAGGAATCTAAGTGTGTCTCAAACATTAATGTTCATATGAATCACATGGGGATCTTGGTAAAAACAGACTCTTATTCAGTAAGTCTAGTGTGGGAACTGTTATTCTGCATTTCTAAAAAACTCTTAGGTGAATCCCATGTTGTAAAGTTCATAGATAAGGCTTTGTATAGCAAGGTTAAGACCGTGGGATAAACTGGTTAGAATAAGGACAGTCAAAGGAGCAACAATGACAAGAGAACTAACAGACTAATCAGCATCTGGTGGCATCCTCATTTTTCTAGGTTTCTATTTAAGACACTTAGCAAATGAACTCCCTTTTAATCTGGTGAATTAGGGAATTAACAACTCCCATTATAAATCTGTAATATATCCACTATCAGGCACTGACTTTGACAAAAAATAGACATTTAGGTTTCTAAACATTGTGAAACATTGGCAATTTTAAAAATATTGGATAAAAATACATTTATCTAAATTCAATGATTTCTTTGGGTTATTTTAATAAAGAACATGTGACTTAGTCCATTATTATAAGGACTGTGCTTAACTTAAGGGATCCATTAGTAAACTCAGATTTCAGAAATTTTAACAACTTAATATAGTATATGATGGTGCTTACCTAATTTACTTTCTGCTAAATTTTGTAAAATTATTGCTTCAAACTCAAAAATACTGCTTCAAAGTGAGTATTTGGGCATGTGGAAAATATACATATTATATGTATATATATTAGATTTCATCTCAAAGGTAAAATAGCTAAAATCTTAGCATATAGTTGGTCTCAGATTTCTTCCTGTACCTCATTCCCAAAATATGAAACCAGGACAGTCACCTTGTTATCCTTTGGAAGTGTTGTGCAGTGTACAATAGAGCTACATGGAAATGGTAGTATTCCCTTATTTTTGCAATAATTATGATTAATTTTTCTACATGGTTGCTATAAAAAGAATTTGGGGATTTAGGGAAAAAAAACTCATGTGACATATGGTCGCTGCCCAAGAGTAACTATCCTTCTGGGGTGGGAAATCCTAAGTAAATAGAGAAAAATTTTAAACCTAAATATAAAAATAATTATATAAAAATGCATAGTAGTGTATATATTTCCTAGAAGCAAAAGTTACGTTGAGTTTTAACTAAGCATTCATTGTCAGACAAGGATCTGAGATAGTTCTTATTTTTTAAAATACTCATTAATGTACTAAGATCAAGAATAAAAGTCATATGAAATTTTCTCTTTTTAATTTTTATTGCTTAAATAGTGCTAAGACAAAAGATAATAGAGTGTTTCCTATGTCTAGGTTTCAATCTTCCTACAATTTAGCTCCTGATGTGGCCTGAGAAACGTTGGAACATTTAAACGTTAAACATTGCAACATTTAAAAAATGTTTTTTTTCCTGAAGTACTTACACCAAATTCTGCTTATGAATACAAACAATCCTAAAAGGAACACAAAGAAAGCAAATAAAAGAGCATAACCACACAACCACATCTATGTGTTGAATGAATCTCAATTCATAATATTCACCTGTATATATTTATCTCCGTTGTTGGAAAGGTCAATAGTTAACTATTATCTGCTTATCGCTGAATAGATCTTGGATTCCTTCGTATCACTTGCATCAAAGATCAGAAGTAAAATAAAAATCGCTTTTTACCCATTGCTACATGCCCTAGAGATTAGCATGGAGATTTCTATGATTGAGGAGTAGTTAACAATTCTAACATTATACAAATCTAGCTTTGACTCACTTTGAGCTTATGTGGGATCAAAATAGGTCTGTGTTTCTGGCTGCCCTACTCTTAGGTTCAACCTGGAAAAGCACTGTTTTCAAGTTAATAATTCATGAAGGAGAGTCACTTTGATGATTTATAAATAGTTCACTTTAACATTAACACTGCAAACTTCCAGATCTGTATTTATAAATTTGCCCCACTGCAAATGATGTCTTTCAGTTTCTCAAAGCCCAGAGATAGTTTTCATCTATTTAGCAGCCAGTGCTCTGTTTTCAACACAGAATAGGATGTTCTGGTTTACCTATTAATAATAAGTACACTGGATTACAACAAATGACCAAAAAGAGGCTGATAAACACATAACGCGAGACAAAACTGTCTCTATGTCCCAGCAGATGGCTTATTAAAACAATACTTCATTGATCTCATTATATTGAATTTATAACAATAAGTTTTAAAAAAGATCATTGGCATAATTTTTTGAATGAATACGTTTTACAGAAACAGGAGCCAATCACATAGGCAGCAAAAATAACAAGGTAAAAAGATCACAAGTGAACTGACACCATGGAAGCTGAACTTTGGTTCTAGTTTGTTTTTTAAGCTCTACGATTAAGAATTAAACACATAGCAGATCCCTGTATTTTCACCTACTACAAAAAAACATGTAAATTAAATTACACCAGAACAAATCAGTAATATGTAGGAATACATCAAAGATAGTATTCCGTTTCCTTTCCTGAATTCCAGGTACATCTTCCACTAAGTCAGTATAATTAGGCTATGAGTTTGCTCATTCCTTTCCAGCTACTGCTTTCCGGAAATGTGTTTTCTAGCTACAAACTATGAAACCTTCCTTGAGAATGGCTACACTGCTTCAACAAATAGTTCAAACCTTTATTTTTTTCCAAATATTATTGACATGATTTTAAAATTACTATTATTTTACTCTCTGTAATAAAATCAAGCAAATATTAAAGAAGTACTGGTATATATGAAGGCACTTATTCCAGTTTATGGTGGAATCATGTACATTTTATGGTGACATAACTAAATTTCTCACCAGCAAGTTTGTTTGTATTTACTTCTCTATTTGACTGCGGTAGAACTGATTTCTTCTAAAATTCGTTGAACCTTTAAATATGTTGAGCATAAAATTGGTATGAAATGAGACAACATGTTCTTTCAGAACCTATAAAGCTATAATCAACCCTATAACTTAGGAAATCCATAATTACTAATGAGGTGAAGTGGAGCTGACAACAGCTGCTAATTGTAACCATAATCTTACGTTGCAAGTGGCAGATGTATTTCAGAAAATATGTTTGATGAACAGATTTACTGGTGGGTGAGAATTACTTCCCAAACTTTCCCTGGAAAATGTTCCATGATGTTTATCATAGCCTATTTCTGCTCTGGGGATCAGTCATCCTTCTAAATGCTATCAGAGCAAACGAAAGAGTTAAATATTATAATGTTGTCTCCTTGTTGAATTATTGCTGTTTTTTCACACTATAATTGAATATCTAAAGCTTTTTTTGCATACATTTTTATGCTAACAGGAATCAGTCTAATGCTATATTTTCAGGCATGGCCTTATATTTTGTCAGACTTGACAGTATAATTTTAGGAACATAATTTCAGATTCATTTGTTCTCCAAATATTTTTCTTCCCTTTGTCATAATTCTTGAGATTTTACAGGTAAAACTACTGCTCATTGTTTTTTTAAGACTTGAGTACCCTATAAAAAGTAAATATTTCTGGAAGAGCTATGGACTTAAAAGGGTATCAGCCACTTTTATATACCATAAAGCAAGGTTGCAAGTTTTACTATCAGTCTCTGATCAAGAAGTTTTTCTCCTAAAATTGTATCATGAGGAGATTATCAGATATATATCTCCAGACAATCTAAATTTTCATCAGTGATGCATTACCTACATGATAGTATGTTATCTATACAATAGAAGTTTATCAAGAACTGTAATGACATTAGCAAATATTCACAATTAGTAAAATACATAAACCCATATATATTATATAAGCTCTACTTAATTAAAAAATAGATTGATAAACTGTTTAAAAGATGAAGTACTTGATGGAAGTAGAATAAATAGCACTGGAGTATCTACTGAGGGGAGAATTATAGATGTCTTATTTGCTACAAAATTACCTATGCAATCCATTTTTTCTAAAATGAATGGCTACAATTATATTATCAAAAACATGTTCAAAATGATATTTTGAATGTCCTCTTCAAATATAAAATGACAGGGGCTGGATTTACCCACCCCTCACACACACACCCTGCCAAAACCCACTAAAATCCAAATAAAAAATATATATGAAACAATTATTATTATTATTATTATTATTTTATTATTTTTTTTTTTTTGCGGTACGCGGGCCTCTCACTGTTGTGGCCTCTCCCGTTGCGGAGCACAGGCTCCGGACACGCAGGCTCAGCGGCCATGGCTCACGGGCCCAGCTGCTCCGCGGCATGTGGGGTCTTCCCGGACCAGGGCACGAACCCTTGTCTCCTGCATTGGCAGGTGGACTCTCAACCACTGCGCCACCAGGGAAGCCCGAAACAATTATTTTTGAAGCATTAGATGCCAGGAGACAGAGAGGGTAATT